CCCCGCCCGGCAGCCCCCCTCCTCCTCCCCCCCCTCCCCTTCCGCGGCCTCCGCCTCCGCCTCCCCTTCCGCCGCCTCCGCCGCTGCCCTCCTCGGCCAAGCTTTGCAGCGCCTCGATCGGAGGCTCGGACAGGCTGTGGATCGTCTCGAGAGCAGGCGCCTCCGCGCGGTGCAGCGCGTCGGCGGGCAAGCGAAGCAAGACGGAGAGCAGCGCCGCGCCGTCTAGGCCATGCTCGCAGTGCAGCGGCCGCACGTCCCCCTCCGCCGCGAGCTCGAAGGCTAGCGTGCCGTGCGGCGGCGAGACGACGGACGACTGCCACGCCAGCAGCGCGCAGGCGAAGCCGATGTTGGGGTTCACGGTGGGGCGCACCTAGGGTTGGGGGTAGGGTCAGGGTCAGGGTCAGGGTCAGGGGTAGGGTCCAGGGGTTGGGGTAGGGGTAGGGGTAGGGTCAGGGTCAGGGTCAGGGTCAGGGGTAGGGTCAGGGTTAGGTTAGGGTTCACACTGTGGGGCGCACCGCGCGCAGCCGCTCGAGCGCCTCCTCGTACCCCTGCCTCTCCTCCCACATCAAGTGCGCCATTGCGATGGTCGCCGAACGCGACACGCCGTGCTGGCAGTGGAGGAGCACCGCACCGCCCCCCGCGCGCGCCGCGTCGATGAAGTCGATCGCGTCGTAAAAGGCGCGAGAGATGTCCTCCCGCAGCGAGTCTTGCAGATGGAGGGACAGGTAGCTCAGCTCGCCCTCAAAGTGGTTCGCGCAGCTGCCGGCGGCGCAGTTCACCACGTGCGTGATGCCCGCCTAGAGATCAAGCAGCCCTCGAGCTGACTACTCACGCACTCGCTAAGCAGTTCACCACGTGCGTTGCGCCCGCCTAGAGGAGTCAGACCCACCCGGCCCGTCCAGCCACCGACCCGATACGCCACTCTCCACACCCCGCGACGCGCGCGCCTCGCGCAGCTTGCCGCGGTCTCGCGCCCCCTCGTCCGCGCCGAGAAAGAGCCGCGGCCCCGCCTCCGACAGCACCGCGTCGAACATCCGCACGAGCCGCCGCTGCGAGACGGGCCGGAAGCCTCCGCCGCCGCCGGACGAGTTTGCGGAAGAGGCGACCGAGGCGGCGGAGGAGGGGCGGGAGGTGGACTCGTGCCGCCCTCCCGGAGAGACATGCAGGCTCCGGCCGAAGGAGGCGAGGCCGCGGCTGCCTGAGGAATCAGTTGGCGGCGCATCACTGGTTGTGCCACGCCCGAAGGAGGCGAGGCGGCGGCTGGTTGGGGAGGGGGCTGGGGTGGGGTCTGGGTCTGGGTTTGGGTGAGGGTGAGGGTGAGGGTGATGGTGAGGGTGAGGGCGAGGGAGAGGGCGAGGGCGAGGGCGAGGGAGAGGGCGAGGGCGAGGGTGAGGGTGAGGGTGAGGGTGAGGGTGAGGGGTAAGGTGAGGGATAGGGCTAGCCCGAGGCAGGCGAGGCCGCGGCTGCCTCCGTCGCGGCCCGAGCCCTGCGACGAGTTGCGCCTGACACCAGTCGCGATTCGTGTGGTGACCACTGGTGACCTGACCGGTGACCTGACTGGTGTCACTCCGGATCAAAGCGGGGCGGGGCGGGGGAGGGGGGGGGGGAGAGCCGCGCCGGTGCTGCCTCGGCGGCGCGCCGGCCTCCTCCCTGCTCCTGCCCCCCTCGGGGCGCCCCCCCACAGAGACGGACAAGTCTGGCGGCCGCACGCGCGAGAGCCCGCCTGACAGGGGAAGGAGAGACATCGCCTGCCGGCTCGCCACAACCGTCGCGGGCAATCGTGTGAGGGGCCCGCCTCCG